CAGCAGTCCTCCCGGGAGGCAGGCGGGGGCTGGGCTCAGGGCACCAGGCTCCAGCAGCGGCAGCCAGTGGGCCTGCAGAGGCTGAAGTGGTCTGTTCTTTGGATGCCCTTTGCCTTACAGTCTGCCCGGGGCAAGCAGCCAAGAGCCCTGGGGGGTGGAGAGATGGGAAATAGGGTGGGAGCATCTCCTGAAACCCACACAAAACCCTGCAAGGACCTGGCAGGGAGTCGTGTGCCCATTTTACAGGAGAGGAAACTGAGGCTTGCAGAATGTTGGCAAGGTCTTTCTGAAGGGCTAACCCTGATTTGTCCTTCCTGTTCCCACGAAAAAGAGGATATTTTCTTCTTCTTTTATCTCTTTTTCCTAAAGGAGGGGGTTTAATATGGTTTATGAAGATGCCCTCAGCATCTAAATATCAAATAAGATAGAAAGTTCAGGCCAGAGGAAGGAATATGGAGTCAGGAATGGCGTTCCAAGTGCCTGCCACACAGTTCTATCCAGTTGCTAATAATCCTGTGGACATTGGCTCTGAGCGTCCTGGCGGCCAATGAAAAAAGAGAAGGCAGTTAATTTCCTAAGTTTCCAACGTCGGCAAGAAGAAAAGAAACTATACTAGATGTACAGGGACACTGTTGTGGCAAGAATTAAGAACACAGAAGGAATCTCAGGCCCTCTCACCAAATCTCATATCTCTATTTTCTCAGAAACGGGCCCACTGATCCATTCTTTTTTAAAAATATATATATATTTTTTTTTTATTGATTTCAGAGAGGAAGGGAGAGGGAGAGAGGTAGAAACATCAATGATGAGAGAGAATCATTGATCGGCTGCTTTCCGCACGCCCCCTACTGGGGATCGAGCCCGCAACCAGGCATGTGCCCTTCACTAGAAATCAAACCCTGGACCCTTCAGTCCGTAGGCTGATGCTCTATCCACTGAGCCAAACCAGCTAGGGGGATCCCATCTTCATCTTTCCCTTCCCAGGGTTCCCAGAATAATCATTTTCCGACAGCAGGTGTATTTCTGTGTCACCACCAGGTGGCAGTGCAGCACAAGTCTCAGGAGGCGGCTTCTTAGAACCGGAGACAACCCATGCACCTGAGCGGCCTGGTGGTGGGCGGGGCCAGGATGGGCCTGAGAAACCTCCGGGAGCTGGTGCCAAGCTTTTGACTGAACCTCAACAAAGCAATCAAATCAGCCTCATGCTCGGCAGGGTCGCCCCCAGGGGATAGAAGGAGGAACCCTGGAGAGAGATTCCGGAGCCCCGGGTTCTCTGTGCCAACGTGAGCAGATCAACTTGCCATTCTCGGCCTCAGTCTTGTCATCCGAGCAAGGGGGTGAATATGCCTGTTGGAGCAAGAGGAAACGGAGACAGGGATGGAGAATGATCTGGACCACTAACACCAAGAGCCGGCAAAGGGTAAA